CCAATGAATTAAAGTACAATGGAATTAAGATAAGACAGCATCAATATGGGTTTCTCTTATTTGTTTATTTTTGGTAGATCAATTTGTCATGCATGGCTTGACATGGAGCAGAGGAATTCTAAGTCATGAGGCTGATTTCTGGAGAAGCAGTGAGTGATCACCCTATCTAATGCAAGAGACAAGGAACAGAGTCACAGGATAAGCCAAGGTCACTTCCCAGCAATCTGAACGGGGACGTTGAGAGCTAGGGTAGGGAGATGCCAGAGTCATAGCCAGGAGACAGGAACCAGGCATCAGGAATAAGAAAAAACAAACAGCACAGGAGCAGGCAGGGGTGTGGGCCTACCCATTCCTGCTAGGTGATGCCACCTGGTGTCCAAAAAATGAAGTCGGCATGGAATTGACTGCCAGGAGAAGTTCTTAAGCAAAAAGGGCCTTAACTTTTTTTTTTTTAATTATATATCACAGCAGTATCTAGACAGGCATCAAAATAAATGGTTTCATGCTGATGATCAGTTTCCAAGGCAAATATCAAAGTGAATTACCTTCAGAAAGATGTGTCAAGATATAAGAAACTTGTTTTTAAGTTAAGCAGATTCGTAAGAAATATACTTTATGGTTGTGATAACAGTTTTGGTTTATTCTCATCAAAAGGAGACACCTTATCACCTCTGTGTTTACAACTATGGGTCAAATGGGAGAGGAAGTTGACCTAATGAAGATAATGAACAAGCTTTTCAAATATTCAGAAGAAGCAGTATAAAGAATATTAAGTATCCATCCTCTGGAACAGATTTTAATGAGAGGATTAGTAAAATGTCTCTACCTTCATCTGAAAAGGTATACTAACTTGTGCCTTCAGTAATTATTTAAGAACCTTCCAAATAATTAGCTGTGTGTTGTGGGGGATGGAGAAAGGTGGAACTTGCCTTCAAGGAGCTTGCAATTTATTTAGAGATGATGGTACCAAGAGAAATAATGAATTTCTTTAGTGATATATATTTATAACCAGCCCTACACAACTGCTTTCTGGGATGATTTTTAGAGCAAGGTTTGTGCACATATTAAATTAAATAGCTACAAGCTATTGTTTGCCTATTTTAGTGAGGAGCTGTTGAAGGCAGGGAGGGGTGACTGTACCTATCCATTTATATCATCAATGCTCAGCGTAATGTCTGGCAGATATAGATCCTCAGTATATTTTTGTTGAATGAATGGATGATAGATGTCTCGAGTTTCCTTAGTCACATGGTTCTTTGAGTCTCACAGCCATCCCATTAACTTCCATGTTAAATTTTGCTTAAGATGCATGAAATATAAAAAGTGTGGTCTTTCAAAATGTCACTCACTCTAAGTGCCAAGCGTTTACCAGCATCACACTTTAAATGACATTTTCTAGTAAGAACCTCTAAGCAGCATAACACTCTTATTTAAAAAAAGAATATTAGCGCTCTATTTCTCCCTCCTTTTTAATGATCTACATTGAATTTCCTTAGAAGCATTTGCTTATAAGGTAACAAAGGCACCTAGTGTGTATTTATTGTCATCCAAGAGCCAGCTGTTTAATGGGGTTCTTATTTTATCTCTAAGAAAATCTGGAGGCATTTGTACATTGTGGAATTATTTCGCAAGTAGGTCTCTCAGTACAATATTGGCAATATTTCTGTTTTGCAGATAAATGGCCGAGAACACTCAACATACTCTTTCTGCTCTTTCATGGGTAGAGAAAATTCTGGACTTAAACCTTTATAGAATCTGTATTTGTTTTATTTCTTTTAAAGATTTACTTATTTAAATAGTAAAGGTGGGGGGAGAAAGGGGGACAGAGAGAGAATCTTCAAGCAGACTCCCCACTGAGTGCAGAGCCTGATGCAGGGCTCGATCTCACAACCCTGAGATCACAGCCTGAGCTGAAATCAAGAGTTGGATGCTTAACTGACTAAGTGACCCAGGTGCCCCTAGAATCTGTATTTAAGTGAAGATTTCCTATTATTAAGTATGTTTATGGGGAATTCTTTGGACCAGAGTGGATCAGAAGTAGCTTAATCTATTTCCAATAAATATATATATAAGTCAAAAGAGGAAAATGAAAATCACCTATGATCCCACCTAACACTTTGATTTTATATATAAATTATATTTATAATATGTTATAATTATATGTATATACTCACAGACACACAAATTTGGCTGTGATTTTTTAACTAAAATAGGTCTTACTGTATATATCATTTTAAAATTTCTTACTTTCTTTAAAACTGTATTGTGAATATCTTTTCACATCAATATATTTTTCTCCCTATGTCGTTTTTCAAATGACTGCATAAGGATTACATGATATTAATATGTTATAATTTACTCAACCAACTAGTAACTTATGTACAATTTCTTGCTCAAATCAATGCACTCATCTCCATGGAGAAATTGTTACATAGGCCCTTAGTTACTTCTTAGAATAAATTTCTAGAAATGAGGGGTGCCTGGGTGGCTCAGCCGTTAAACGTCTGCCTTCGGCTCAGGTCATGATCTCCAGGTCCTGGGATCGAGCCCCGCATCGGGCTCCCTGCTCAGCGGGGAGTCTTCTTCTCCCTCTCCCTCTGCCTCTCCCCACTGCTCCTACTCTCTCTCTCTCTCTCTGTCTCAAATAAATAAATTTAAAAAAATCTAAAAAAAAAAAATTTCTAGAAATGAAATAGGTGGATCAGAGGATTAACATATTCTAATAATTCTTAACAAATAATGCCAACTGCCTTTGTAAAAGTTCTATTGCTGTTCTCTTTCACCAATAATGTAGAAGGGTTCCCACTTCCTCAAACTCCAATTTACCTGAAGGATGCTTGTTCTTTCATGAGTTCTGGAGATTTGAAGATTTGCTTATCAAAAAATAATACTTTGTTAGTGGTTTAATTTGTTTTATTTCATTACTAGTGAAGCTGATCTTATTTAGCAGTATTATTGGCCATTTATGTTTCTTCTGTTCATTATCTACTTATATCCTCTGCCCATTTTTCTATTATGTTTACTTTTTCCTTATTGGTCTTTGAATACAGCAGTAATATCAGCAGCTAATATCTAACTTCTATTGAGTGTTATGAGCCAGGCCCTGTTCTAGGTGTTTTATGTTTAATCTTGTCTAATGAGGTGAGGGCTTTTATCAGCCCTGCTTTATAAACAAGGCATCTAGGCACAGAGAGGTTAAGTAATTTACCTAAAGTAACATAACTAGTACATTTGGTATATTAAGGAGATTAACAATTCATCATGTACATTATAAAGACCATCAACCTATCAACATGTGTGTTGAAACTGCTTTCATTGGTTTATCCTTCATCACTTATTTGTGTTGACTCTTGCTTGGTAGGATTGCTGGACTCTATTGCCATCAAATAAATTGGCTTTTCTTTTCTAGTTTCTGCTTTTGATACCTTGATCACCTAAAGAATACTTTAAACAGATATAATTCAAACAAATTCAAACATTCAAACAGTATAAAAAGATACAAAATAGTTAAATTACATTTCCCCCCTTTGTATAAATCAGAGTTCTACAAAGCAAAAGTATCTCCTTTAACCATTTATGTTTTTCGTTCTTCTGATGATTGTCCTATGACTCTAAATAATATGGATATACCTCCATTTCTTGATTTATCAACTCCTCATAGTATATATTTATTTATTTATTTATTTATTTATTTAAAGATTTTATTTATTTATTCATGAGAGAGAGAGAAGCAGGCTCCCAAGGAGCAGGGAGCCCGACGCGGGACTCGATCCCAGGACCCTGGGATCATGACCTGAGCCGAAGGCAGACGCTTAACCGTCTGAGCCACCCAGGCGCCCCAGTATATATTGATTTATTATTATGAGAGATGTGACATTTTAGTTAACTTATCCCTTCCTTTCCCTCTCCCCTCTTCCAACTAACTCCCATGAGTAATATCAATTTTGGTTGTGAGTGCCTTTATAACTTTCAGTAATATGCTTCAACCTCTATTTCTTGATTTATCAACTTTAGAAAGTATGCCTTCACTAAGCGCTTCATTCTTAGTGGGGGAAATCACATGTGAAAATGGTTATTCTCTATATTCCTTGGATCATAAAATGCCGTATCTATGAAAGAATGCTTCACTAGAAGCAGGTCTACCCTTAGTCATTTTAATGAAAGCAAAGAGATATGTGTAAGTAGAATGAAAGATATTGATATAAATGGTTATATAAATTATAAGTATATATACCTTTATATAGCATAGATTACATAGATTATAGAGATTATAGAGTCTTTCCAACTATAATGCTTTATTTATTGCTCAAAATAATTTTGTAATGTATACAGAACAACTGTTCTTACATTTCATAGGTACGGAAACAAGCACGGAAAGTTTATAGTCACATACAGTCACTGTTGTGGTCTTCTAGGTTTGGTTGTGTTTTGTTTCTGTCCGGCACCCACTTCTTTTTTGTGGCAATATCACTCTGAGCAATAATCCCACCTTTCCCCAGGCTTAGTTCATATGCTTTCAAGTGAAAATGAGTACAGTTTTAAACTCATGAAGCATGTGACTTAGAGCTGAGCCAATAAATGCAGGAAATTTCTCTGGCCACAGTGGGTCTGAAATGGCATTATAATCTATAAAGTGTACTAAGATTTGGACTGGGAATAATGGGACAAAGATGCTTGCTCCATTCTCCTGAATGAAGGCACAGCGCTCAGAGATACTGGCAGCCATGATCCATGAGATCATTTGACCTGAGCCAAAACCAAGAGTCGAATGCTTAACCAACTGAGCCACCCTGGCATCCCTCATTTGTACTTTTAATATGCATTTCAAGCACATAGACTCTGTGTTCAAAAAGTTACTATCTGGGGCGCTCAGTCATTAAGCATCTGCCTTTGGATCAGGTCGTGGTCCCAGGGTCCTGGGATCAAGCCCCGCGTCGGGCTCCCTGCTCGGTGGGAAGCCTGTTTCTCCCTCTGCCACTCTCCCTGCTTGTGTTCCCTCTCTCGCTGTCTCTCTCTCTCTCTGTCAAATAAATAAATAAAATCTTTTTTAAAAAAAGTTACTATCTAAAAAACACCAAATATAAGTGCAAACCCAAGATTGCCCTGCTATGCTGGAAGGGAATTGAAGGAGGTTCATGCAGGGCTAGATTAGGGGCTCAGCTTGTAGGCTAGTGGTTCCTGAAGGAGACTGAGGTAAGTGGTGAAAGACCTGATTAGGCAGAAACAAGCTGGGGAGGAGCAAACTCTGTGCGTGTAAGAAAAGGCATGAGTTACCAGGCAGAAAGTTGTGTCAGGGGAAACAGTTTCATGTGAAGGAAGAGGAAAGTGAAGAGACAAATGTTTGAACTTCTGGTCTGAAAGTCATGTAAAACTTTTAAAAAGCACATAAGCAAGGGTACACCATTGTGGAAAATTGCTCAGGGTGGAGGACGTGGCCAGCCACAGACGGCACTGGTGGACAGAGAGTCCAGACCCAGGATGGTGCAGGTACACACTCTCAGTAGAGCTAAGGAAGGCGCCAGTGGGATCCAGGTGCACCAGCTAGAAGAAGGAGCCTGCAGTTTGAAAGTGTGGAAGTTTCCATGTCAAGTATTTCTACTTTAGTTTTCCTTTTACTTTAAAGGTGGAACTTTTGGGGGTCACTCTGTGTAACACCTCAACTGCCAAATCTGGGAAACGTAAGATTTTGCTAGAATGGCAAGTGTCTTGTGCCTAGTAAGGAAGAGATCTTGCCACGGTGTGAAACACTTCTTAAGACATGCAATGCATGGGTAGATGAGAGAAAAGGCACTGCCATAATAACCATGTACTGACCTGAAGAGATAATAAATAGACTGTTTCAAATGCCCCTGGGGCTTGCACAGAACAGCATCAACATTGATCCTTGGAGTCTGCATTTTTAGTGGGAAACTAGTGAATGATGGTGCTGAAAGTGGAAAGGCCAAACTCTCCCTTGGTTGTAGCTAAGTGACTCTTTCCCAAGCTCATCTGTGCTTTAGTGGTTTCGTTTTGCTTGGCTTTTTACAACTTGGCAGCCCAAGAAGCAAAAATGAGGGACTCAGCGGATTTGAAAAAAATGTTTACTCCAAATGTCCCTTTAGTACTTGTATTTCTTGGACAGAGATTCCTGATGTTCTAATTAATTGTTCTTGGTGTTTTCTTTAAAAGCATCCATTAGCATTTGTGAATCTGCCATGGCTTTTGCTCTTAGTTTCCATTCACCTGATATTTTCCTTTAATGCAGGAAACGCACCTTTCCGGCCAGGTGAAATATAAGTTTATTTGAAGACCTTGCCTAAAAGTTGCAGAATTCACTGGCAACTTTGGGTGGTGGCCTTAAGAAATGTCAGCTAGTAGAAGAGTAGTGCTATTCTATGGTTTCCTACTCTCTGTGAGATCTGGCTTTTAAACATCTTTTGTTACTTCACAGTACATTTTCAAATGCATTTGAAGTGATTAACATCCTGAATTGAGTCCTGTTGTCATATTTAATTGTCGGCTAGCTATTTTCCTTTGGGGTATTTGACAGTTGCCCAAAATGTTGGTCTTAATCTAAAACCAAGAAGAGACCTCTGACATAGTGAAAGCCACCAAAGTGGCATTTATTAAATATAAAAGAGCACCAGTTCTCATCTCGAAAAGAAAATTCTTCCAGGATCAAGGGAAAATTACGTTAGCACTTAGTTGAAGCTCTATTAGTTTCACATGTCACATGAGGATTTAAAGATGTGTGTGTTCCTATAATACATAACATTTGCATTGAGAAATAAAGAGTAGTCTGACTCTCAGGTTCTATCTCCAATATGTCAAACTTACTATAAATACAACGGTTAGCATTAGTCCATTATCTGGAAAATGGTTTGTATAAAGGAAAAAATTAAATGATATTGATTTGAAATGAGGGAAGCTCATATGTGCATTTTAGGAACTCTAAGTGAATCAGCTAAATATATGCACCTGAGGAAAAAAAGTTACCCTCTGGGTAGTATCTTGTACTAGGTTGGAAACATGAAACTCATTAATAGTGTTAAAAATTAAGGTACCTAATGAATTATACCCATTATTAGAGATTTTCTATGGTAGCAATTGTTTAAAAAAAAGAAATTGCCACATCTCTATGACATAAGAGAAAAGATACTCTAAAGCCACTGGGAATTATCACCAACTGGAAGCATATTTCACATGGTCAAAAAAACAGAGGTCAAGTTCTGGTACTTACTAGGTGAGGACAATGGCCACTGCATCATTCAACACACTCTCCCCAAACAGGAGTGTGTACAGGTCGGGGTCGACGTGCAGTTCATGGAAAATGGCCAGCACTGTCACTAGGAGGAAACACACACAAATATGCAGAGTTTGCTAAAACACAGCCATGGATTTTTCCTTGGTTGTGGTCACCTCTAAAAAGGATTCATTAAATGCTCATCTTCTCAAATCTATCCTCGGTTCCCATATTGGACCTTCATTTAAAAAAAAAATCTGATGAGTCACTCCCTTGCTTAGAGATTTCTCTGGGCTTCCCACTGCTTTCAGAGAAAGTTTGAGCTCCTTGGTCCAAGTCTTCTATAATCTGCACCCTGCTTATCTTCCAGCATCTCCCCCTGTATCCCCTGCTCACCCTTTGCTGCCTGCCTCAAGTCACACTGAACTTGCCATAATTTCCCCAAATCACCCAAATCATGTAGTTTTTATTTTTTTTAAAGATTTTATTTATTTGACAGAGAGAGACACAGTGAGAGAGGGAACACAGGCAGAGGGAGGGGGAGAGGGAGAAGCAGGCCTCCCGCCGAGCAGGGAGCCCGATGCAGGGCTCCATCCCAGGACCCCGGGATCATGACCTGAGCCGAAGGCAGATGCTTAATGACTGAGCCACCCAGGCACCCCCAAATCATGTAGTTTTTAAATTAACTTTGCATTTTGGTTCACTTTACCAGAGCAGCAATTTCTTTCCCATCCATGAGCTACCATTCCCCCCCATTCCTTAAATGTACACACACATACCCACACATACAACTTCTTGTTTCCCCCAAGCCCCATTCTTCAATCTTTAAAAACCTCTCAAGTGTCCCCCAGGACCCCAATTCCTCAGCAGAAACCTGGCTCACTCCTTTTTGATCCCCGTATTTGAATGAAATCACAAAACTTATCACAGAAGACACTGGGAGCTCCCTGGAGACAGGGCACATCTTTGCAACACGGGGTACTTGGCAAATGCTCAGTAAGTGTTTGATGCATGAATGACTGAGTGAATGAATGCATTAATGAATGAATGTTGTTACATGGCCTACTCCTGTGAAGGGAGAGGTGGTTGGCACCTGGCTCTCCTTCTCTCTTGAGATTATACTCATCTATAAAGATGAACCCTATGTTCCTAAAAGCAGGACTGAAGGACTTGTTTCTGGCAGCCTGCTGCTTGGCTACTGTATGCACACATATTATATGGAGCCTCTGAGCATACATCAGGACAGTAAATAATCACACACTGATTATCTGTGTTCATCAAAACCATTCAGTGTCTTGATACTTGAAACAGTTATGCAAAGTGTGAAAAGCAATCATTAGGAAAATGATCCACTGAGTTGATTGCCAAAGGGGTAAAGAGGATGACTGGGAATGATACTGATGGTAAATTTTTTTTTTAAAGATTTTATTTATTTATTTATTTGAGAGAGAGAATGAGAGACAGAGAGCATGAGAAGGAGGAAGGTCAGAGGGAGAAGCAGACTCCCTGCTGAGCAGGGAGCC